TCTACTGCTACTGGTGAAGTTATCATTACTACTGATTCAGATGGTGAATTATACACTACAACTGATATCTTCGGTGACTGTCCAGAATGTACTGATTACACCACTACTTTTGTTACTACATTACCAGATGGTACTGTTTCAACTGCTACTGGTGAAGTCATTATTACTACTGATTCAGATGGTGAATTATACACTACTACTGATATCTTCGGTGACTGCCCTGTTTGCACAGATTACACTACAGGATACACCACCACTGATAAGGAAGGTCACGTTTCCACAGGTTCTTGTGAAGTTATTGTAACAACTGATAAAGAAGGTGACGTTGTAACTCATACCGTAGCTTTAGAAGTCACTGCATCAACTGTTTGTGCCAAGGGTACTTGTGTTGCTGTGACTGTAACTGACCACATTGACGTTACTGAAACTGTTGAATGTCATGTTTGTACCCACTATGCTACTTCAGTGGTGACTACTGATGAACATGGTGTGACTGTTACTATCCCATGTGACGTAAGTGTTGGTACTAATTCTGTTGGCGAAGCCACTACTACGACTATTATGGATACTACAGGAAAAGAAGCTCCTACTTTTGCTGCTTCCAACACAATTGCCCCAGTCAGTATTTCTGAAAGTACTACAGTGGCTGCTCCTTCAGTTACTGCTTCAGTACCGGAAGGTTTAGGTGGCAGAGTTGAACCAACTTTTGCCTTTGCTATTGCAGGAATGATTTCATTATTCCTCTTGTAATAGATCAATGTTCTTGAAATGTTTGATACCCTTCAAGAACTTTAATTTTAATGTTCTAATGATCTGGATTTTTTTTGCTATTCTTTACGGGTGACATTTTTGTCGTTACAAAATTTTTTTACTTACACATACTGTATATTTTATTACATAATACCTTTTTTATTTTTTCCCTTATTGAATCACAAATTTACTATCTCCAATTCGAATTCCATTTCCTTGAACATCTTAAAGCGGAACTGGTCCAAGACTCCTGGCCCGCAAGCTTCCGTACCCACACCTTGTTGTTTATAGTCTATCCTGATGTACTTTTCTCCATGAACTACTTCGTGTGGATGACCTGCTTCTTGAACATTATATTGATCAGAACATTTAAATCCGAATGGACTAACACATTTAAATAACGTGTTATCATCTAATTTCATCCAGAAAGTATCTTCATGGTTACCATTTTCTTGTGGGTAATCATACTCATAATCCAAATTCTCAAATAATTCGCGGTGAATATCCAATCGTTGAGATTCTTTCTTATCAGCATAACTTTCTCCAGGACCTCTACCATACCACTGTACCAGTTTAACATCATATATACCGAATTCATACCCAATACGAGGTAAATATTTAGGAATGAAGTTGGGGAAATATCCTTGAGGCTTCAATGATGTTTTGATTTCAATTTTATTATGGTACACCATATAAGTTTCGACGGTTTCGAAATTCCAGGCAAGAACTAAGGGTCCAATTGACAGTTTGACTATGATTTTAGCAAGAAAGTCTTTACCGTATTCGATTTTTACATCATTCACAGATTGAACCATTTGATGTAAACCAAATTGTCTCCAATACGGACCATCGGTTGTAGCATCATTATTAGTTTCGGGTCTGGAAAAAGTCAATTGGTTTATGTGGTTTCTAATAACTGGCTGACTTGATGACCAGGATTCAATTTTACCTTCAAATTTATTAAACCCGAAATGGTATGACCCTTCGTCTGTGATCTTCAAATATTTTGGCGATTCGTGGAATTTATAATTAGTCAAATTGTAGACATTGGACGAAATATTCAACTCTGGATTGCCATGTACATATTGTTCTGATGAGATCAAGTGACCTTTTGGAATACCAGGTTGGGACTTTGAAGTTCTAAATTCAATGTTGACTATATAATGATCAGGTAATGAATCTAGAGGTAAATCTATGTCCTCTTCCTGTTGAGGCAATATTTCTGGAAGATCAATTATTCCTTGTGCTATAAGTTGCTTCTCAAATCCATACTGGTTCACTTCATAATTGCATTCGAAATTTGTCAAATCAATAAAATCATGAGTATTCTTTATTCTTATCTTCAGACCTACAAAGTTGATGACGATTGGTTCTATGACTTTCTTATACTCTATAAGACCTGGAGTTGGTTCATGGATGGAATTTACTAGCCCATCCATACAAAACACTCCATCATGAACCGGTTCATCGAAATCTCCCCCATAACAATAAACTATTTTACCATCAATTTCCTTCTCTAGCCCATGATTATTCCACTCCCAGATGAAGCCCCCTTGTAAATGTTCATGCTTATAAAAAAGATCCTGATATTGTCTTATAACCCCAGGACCATTACCCATTGCATGTCCATATTCACACAAAACCAAAGGTTTTTCAGTTTGTTTTGTATAATCCAAAACTACATCCAACAGTGGATACATTCTACTGTACATATCAGTAATTTCCGATTTCAAGTCAGGTTCGTAATGGATAGGACGACTGGGATCCCAATTTTTGATGAAATTAGCCATTGATTTATGATTTTTACCAAGGAATGCTTCATTACCAAGAGACCAAACTATAACACATGGTTGATTGATGTCTCTTTTCACCAATTGTTTGGCTCTATCAACATAAGCGAGCTCATAGTCAGGATTATCAGAGGTAAACAATTTGGCCCTTTCGAATATTTCTCTATTAGTTGCCAGAGTAGAAAAATCACCTAGTGATTCATAATCGTCAAATCCAAATTCTGGTCTATAGATACAATCATAAAACCCATGACATTCTAAGTCTGCTTCGTCAAACACCCAAAATCCATATTTATTCGCTAATTGGTAAAAAATAGGATGGTTTGGATAATGAGAAGTTCTTATCGCATTAATGTTATGTTGTTTCATTACTTGGAGATCTTTTTCTAGAAAATCTTTGGGAACAGCTCTACCAAATTTGGGATGATGTTCATGTTTATTCACCCCTCTCAATAAAATGGGCTTGCCATTGACCTTGATTAGACCGTCAGAAATTTCAACTTTGCGGAACCCGACCTCTTGCTCCACAAAAGAAATTACATTACCAGATTTGTCGACGATGGACAATTCTAGGAAATATAAATCGGGAGTTTCTGCAGTCCACTTCTTGGGGTTGGTTACATGAAACGATTTTATAAAATTAAAATCCTCTATTTTGAAATGTTGTTGAAAAACTCCTTTTAAGTTGATTAACAATGAAACATCTTCACTTTCATCATACGATAAATCCGCATCTACCTTGAGTTGTGCATGTTTGAAACGATAATCTAGGTCAGTTGAAATTTGGAAGTTTTTGAAATACCCTTTGGAGTTAAACCCTAAAATCCACACATCTCTAAAAATTCCGCTCAACCACCATTGGTCCTGATCCTCTATATAACTTGAACTTGACCATTGATAAACTCTTATGATTAATTCATTGGTGGAATCCCTTTTGATAAAATCAGTAATCTCAAATTCTGCAGCATTTCTACTACCTTCATTATATCCTATTAGTTGACCATTTAAGAAAATATGATAAGAGTTATCAACACCCTCTAGTCTAATACGAAAAAGATCGCTCTTTTCCCAAAATTGAGGGATGTAAAAGAACTTTCTGTAGCATCCGGTGGGATTATTTCTCGGAGGGTGTGGGACATTCACATTGAAAGGGAATTGTACATTGGTGTAATTTGGGCTACCAAACCCTTGTAATTGCCAATGGCCTGGAACTTTGATTTTTTTATCCGATGTAAAATTGGAAGGTGTAGGAGATAATTTTGGACTTAAAGAATAATTAAAATCCCATTCTCCATTTAAATTCAATTTTTCTTTGGGTAAGTAATATGACCTAGTCTCCAATCTATTCAATTGATAACATTGAGGATCATGTAAGTCTTGTTCCAAACTTTCTACTGTAAAATTATCCTTTTTGTTAGGTAATCTCATATTAGTCCGCGAATTTTCTTGTGGACCTCTGATATATGCGGCCCCTTCGCAATTTACCATTTTGAGAGGTCTAACGCATTTACAAAATTTAAAGATGAATTTTAGTTCGTTTAGGAAGTCTAAATTTTGAAAAGGAAGTTTCATATTTGATGGGGGTCTTAAATTTTACGATAATGATCTACCAAAATTTCAAAAGATCAAATGAATTTGTTTTCCATAGATACCGTGAAACCCATCTTTTGTGTTATCGGTTTTTAAAATTAGTTGTATCACCTAACCCACAGTAAAGTTTATGAATATTTTATACGGTTTTTCGCAATTATACCCTTTCACCTCTCCAATGTGGCAGCTCTTAAAAATCTCACAACCCTTATAAGAAGGATTATGACCGCGGACCCTAAATAGAGGGCAAACATGTAGTATTAATGTTTTTATTCGTAAAACGCCCAGCAGTACGAAATCCAACAACCAATGAAAAAGGCTTGGTCCCGTAATAATCCTTTGTCAAATATCAATAATCTATTGTTTGAAGCGTTGATGGAATTCCTCAAATACTGGAAACATTAAGAGAATTAAATCTTAGCAAGAAAAGGGTTTAACCCGGAAGTGGCGAGATGTTTAAATTTTATAAGGTTTTATTCTAAATTAGTCATTTTGAAAAGTTTTCAAGGTTTAATGAAGATGTTCAAATATTTCTATCGCTCAAACATAGGATATTTCAATTAGAATTTAGTTATAGTTTTAAGAATATTGTTTAATAAATATTCGATAGCGGACTTTGCATTAGTGGGGATAACACCGAAAATCTTATTGCGCGGAACCACTTAAAAAGAAATCAAGTATGGCTAGATTTTCTTTTTTATTTTTTCTGTAATCTTTTGAAACTGAGCTGTAGTTACCTAATTGAGAGTAGTTTGGGATCTTATAGGAATTATTCCCATAAATACACCTTCACATTAGAACATGTACAACGGTTAAAACAAATTATTTTCAGCCATTAATTGTTTAATCCTTGTTGTCTATTGTTTGATGAATTAAAAATTATACGAATGTCATCATGTTACAGCTCAAAACCTCTCATTAATCAATGAAATTTCAAGATTGATGAAGGATATAAATATTTTTTATGCCATTCCGTCTTCATTTTGGAATATTAGATTTAGTTATGTCAAGCGGGTTTCAGATTTAGGGGTCTTAGTCAAAAAATATTGCACGTTCAAATGTTTGCTTGATGAAATTCTTTATCGGGTATATTTAATCCTTTTCGATTTTTTTTAATGTTGTTGTATAAAATCCTTGCCTGTTCCTCTATAATGTTCTTGTAAATACGGATAAATGAAGTTTTCAACCATTTTCAAATACTCTGTGCTAGTATCTCCGATATTGGCTAGAGATATTACTGAAGATACTATTCAACGTAATACTATTAATTTAGCTATTGAAGACTATCATATTTATCCTGACGTTTATTGGTCTATTATCGATAACACCTATACCACCATTGTTGGTAATTTCAATAATGAAGGTCAATTCTTCGTATCTGCTGATAGTAACTTTTTGTTTGGTTTAAATGTTGACATTGGTGGTCTTATAACTGGTACCGGAACTTTTGAAAATAGTGGAGATGTTGCTTTCAACTCCAGTAGAACACTTCTTGCTCCTGATTATGACATAGATGTTGGTACTTTCACAAATACTGGTAATATGTGGTTTGGTGCTGATGGTTCCGTTGGTACTCCAGTCATGAGTGTTACCGCTGGTACTTGGGATAATGATGGTTTAATGGTGTTTTCTTTAGCATCAAGAAGTCAAGGGGTTGTCCAATTGGGTGCCGTTATTGGTTCTGGTTTTGGTGATATTACTAATGATGGTACTATCTGTTTAATCAACCAAGCTTATCAACAATCAACTGCCATTCAAGGTAGTGGTTGTATCGATGTTGGTACCGATTCTAATGTTTACTTGTCAGGATCTATTGGGAGTCTTACCAATGGGGTTGATGAAGACCAAACTTTCTACTTAAGTTCATCAAGTTCATCCATCAGAGCAGATTCTCTCTCAACCAGTCAAACTTTTCACGTCGCGGGTTTTGGTGGAGGAAATGTTATTGGGCTCAGTAGTACTATTGTAAGAGTTCAATATACCGGAGATACTTTAAGACTTTACACTTCCCTTCTTCCTGCAATTTACCAAAGTTTTGTTATCGGTACTGGTTACGATGCTAATGGTTTCACTACTATTTCTACCACTTATGGTTACCTTGGAAGTTCTTTCCCACTCTTGAATGCAGTTACGTACTCAGGTGCTATTCCTGCTTCAGCTGCCAAACCAGCCAAATGTTTGACTTGTCAAGCTTTCCCGTTGGTGCCAGGTATTGATATTGATAATAGTTCAAGTATGAGTTCCAGTGAATCTTCAGCTTCAAGTGAAGAATCATCAGCTTCTAGTGAATCATCTGCCTCGAGTGAATCATCTGCCTCAAGTGAAGAATCATCAGCTTCTAGTGAAGAATCTTCAGCTTCTAGTGAATCTTCAGCTTCAAGTGAAGAATCATCCGCTTCAAG